CAATATCGATCGTTTCCACTTTGTAACTTTATTACTAGGAATTTTGAACCAACTCAGATGATAATATCGATGACAGCGATGTAAATCCATAGAATATGCAACTTGCATGGTAAAATGTGTCATGCACATGAGCTGGGTTAACAGGAAACAACTATGATTCTCTGTATCGCACTCGACTTATTTGACGAGAATACAGTCACAATTTATTGATAAAATATTCGTTTCATTTCATTGAAATTGTACATCAAATAAAATCACGGTTACTTTGGTTTATTTCCTTCATTTTTGTGATTCAAACGTTTGAACGCATGTTATGATACTGAAAATCTTCTTATACCACCTAAAAATCAACACCGTTTAAAAAAAACATTTTAAACATGAAATTGGGAACAATCACCAAAAGGCATATGATAACAATCGCAACTTGGTTCATTTCTATTTCCTTGTAGTATGAAACTTGTTGAATTCAACAGTTAAATTTCAACCTACTCAAAAATGTAATTAATTTCCCTAAATCATTTTCCCACCATCAAGTGAGTGCGGTCAGCGAAAGAGCGCAAGAGACTCGTTGCGGTTGCGTTTTTGTTTGTACTGTCGCCACAATCCAGCTTTATTAATGATTCATTGCGCAGTACAGAACTGAAATAAATTTCAATTAATTTGGTGCGCTCATTAAAATAAAGTGGCCCAAATGTCAGCGGAAAAATTAGTTTGAGCAAAGCGGATTTGGTAAGTAAACGAAGGTATTTTTCGAAGCGACCAAATTTAATTTAAACATCCCAAAGCTAGGCAATCAGCATGTGGTAAACCGAAGCTTTGTTTGATGGTGCCCTCTGCGCACCAATGGAAGCAGATTAATTTGTCTGTACCATTCAATATTTTCCAATTAAATTTCAAATTTAAATAACCCGATGGAATTTCAAGCGGAATTTTTTTTCTTCATTAAACCGAAAAAAAACGCATAATTTTTTTTACCGAGTTCTGAATGTGATAAGAAAAACGAGTCCGGTACTAATCAGAACGTGGATTATTGCAATAATTGTAATTTGTTTTGACCGCTCAATTCGTTTTTGCGCGCCAAACGCTCAGCCGTTTGATACAATAAAATCGAAACCACCAGGCTAACACACAAACAAACTTTAGAATGTTTGACATGCAATCAAAAAATACCGGATTGCATGGATTTCCATTTGCAATGCACTGAAAAGCATATTTTTTTTGGCAAATATGCAGTTCGTTCACTCGTACATATGGCGTTTTGACTTGCGTGCTGGATCTTAGTTGTGCAAATAGTTTCAATTACATGTACAATGTAAACAGTAAGCGATTGACGGTGTTGAAAAAATGCACTTTGTTGTTGGCGCTCTTGCGTTTGGAGTGTGTGTGTGTATGCGCGGCTGCGATCTCATCGATGAGACAAAGATTTTTATCGTTTGCTGGCGGGCACATATCGGACGCGTGTATGTACACTAACGAGACGCATTTAATGCGGTATTTTTCCATCATTTACATTGTACGATACCTCTATTGAGCTGATTTCATCAACAGTGCAGAGATGGCTTTAGCGCACCCGGGTATTTTTGTTGTTTTTTTCTTCGTTATACTTTACCATTTTGGTCAAAAAAAACTTTGATAAAACAAAATATCAATATTTTGTGTAACATAACAAAGAACAGTTTTTGAAAAACCACATTTATATTAGTAAAATATGAAGAAAAAATCCCCAGAAGTAGAAATTGCGTAATATTGCAAAATTGAGCCAATGTGAGTAATTACTAGGTGCATATGACCACACAATGCGAATACCGGGAGCAGAAAATGTAAAATCTTCTTCGTTATGTTACACAAAATATTATTTAAAAAAAATCCTGGCAAAAAAGCTAAAGTAGAACGAAAAAACAACAAAAATACTCGGGTGCGCTGAAGCGCACTTGAGTGCGCTAAAGTCATCTCTGCAACAGTGTGCATACATTTTAATCACGCTTCAAACTCCATCGAATCGAATTAACACAATGAATTATCTTCCTCTACAAATTCAAGCGTTTAATTCCATTAGTTGTTTTGATTCTGAGTAAATAAAAGTAAAATGTAAGTGAAGACCAAAAAAAAAAATTTTCAACGAAATATCAATCAAATGAATTATGATTTTGAATTTGGTGTGAAAGTAGCATTCCGATGGAATTTGTGTTGCATATTGCAATATCAAAGGGAAACAAATCAAATGGAAGTGAATTATTGTCGCAATTGCACGAGAAAGACCTTTCTTTTAGTCTAAGCTCCGGTTTTCACCTTGACAATGGTCCGTGTGTAATTCGTTACGCTTCGTTATCGTTGATTCTCCAGTTTGTCAGATCTTCCACTGAAACTGTCCATCGCAAAGGATGGCACGAGAAATGTTGACAAACACCGAACGCGTCAGCCATTAAATGCACGCAACTGAGCTTGTTTGCATCATTTGCAGAAAAGAAGGCCGAGTTTGCTCATCATGCAATCACACCGTTCCATATGGGTTCATTTGGATCACTTTATAAAGTGATATATCACCATCGTTTGGTTTGTTTGAACAAGGAAAGAGTGTGTGTACGCGCGTGTGTATGCCTCGTGGCACAACATGACATGCTACTTATATTGTTACTTGTGTGTGTACGTGTATTTTTTGAGCAATGATAGAACGCCATTTGAAATTAAATCATGTTTACATAATGTGATTAATTGCTTATTTTAATTAACATTCATGCAAAATGACAAATGCATGAGTGAACGGAGGCACGTCACTCAAGAACATTTATGTGTACACAGCGGATTTCTGTCGAGCGACCGTCGAGAAAATGCCAAGCTTAAAATTTTCAGCGCTTCAAATGGGTAAATTCAAGCCTGATTACAGCTGGTGACTCGATGTGAATAGAAACATATGCGAATAAAACTATATATGTAGTGTAAAACGATTGAATTGAATGCGAAGATCTCTCTGAACGGAAATTCTTTCAATTTCGCTTCCTTTTTGTTCGATGGCAATAAAATCAGATGGGGAATGTGTGTGTGTGTGTAGGGGAATCGATGATATTATGTGCAATTCACGTTTTTATTTCCCCAATTTATTCCAAGAATGAGGCGCAATTTCACTGCAGCTCTGTTCGAATCAGAACAAAAATGCGGTTACAATTGAACGAAATCATCGATCATTACCATGGCTGCCATTTTTCCTTTGGTTCTTTTATTGAAAAAAAAAATCGTCATCTAATGGAGACATGAATGCAAGAGCATTGGATTAAACACATCAGTCGGATGGCTTTGTGCATGTCGTTTTGCTCTCTGTTGCAATCAAAGAAGGATTCGTGCAGCACAGCGATTGCTGCACGTATTATATGTCAGCGTTAATAATCGCAATCACTTTGAAACGTACATTGGCACAGTGTGTCTGCCTGCAACAGCAGCGATAAAATGCAGCAAAATTCGAACATTTACATAACTGAATCGAATGCATCTAATCGATTTGAATGAAACTTCTATTTTACAGAGATAATGCCGTTGATTACATGAACTGGTTGCTTGGTTGGTCTTGTTTCATTTTCTTTCTTAACTTTTTGCATATTCATGGGAATATATTGGCGTCGAAGACATTTGGTTCGAGCAAATTCGAATGTGACACATATACCAAGTGCGTATTGGTAGCACTGATTTACCCGAATCGAACAGCATTCGGTGAAATTGTACTTGGATTCTTCTCGTCTGATCTGTTTGTAATGCCGTAAACAAGAAGCCAGAGACTTGGCTTTAGATAATTGGGTAACAAATCCATGACTGTTGCTGCTGCTGCTGCGACAGCAGCTGTCACACATTTCGAACGAGCGAATTATTCTGGGAATTTGTGCTCTTTTATGTTTGCGCTTCATTTATTGGCTGTGCTAAAGACAAATGAAAATGCAACAGCAAACACATCACGATAAAATGTCTACATGCAATCGCTGCAGCTTTCTGTTTATCTATTTTCAATTGGCAAACCAATCAATATTGTCACATCTCTGTCGATTTTGGATTTTCATTCATTCGCGATTTTCTGAATTGTAAAATTGCACGACTTGTGTGCAGCGAGCGAAAGAGACATGGCTCGACATCACCAGAAACGAAAATTAACAACACAAAATTCACTTGTCGATGCCATTTTGCAATGACTCAGCATTAATTTATGAACATCGTTAGATTTGGATGCAATCGACGCGCCAACCAGGCAACCAGTCGATTGCGAAAAAAGACTCTCTTTTCCAAGCGGTTTGTCTTTAGCAATAAAAATGCAATTTATAGTGCTAAAACTGGCGAAACATTCGGTTTCTTTCGCACCATTTTCAGTTGGAAAACCAGTCGGGCTGACTGCTGAGTACATACAATCTAACGAAAGTTGATCGACTGCCGAACATGTGCCAATCAACTGGACGAAAAGTTCATTTTTTAACGGTTGCAAAAGAAAAGAAACCAAAAAATAGAATGTGACATTTGATATCGACAGCCACTATTTTTAACAATCAAATAATCTCGATAAGAGCAGCAGCATCTGCGGCAGCAATCACAGCAGCAGAAGAAGAAAAAAGTCTTTTGAGCTTGTGCGTTCTCCCTCCGCATGGCTGCTCATTGCTGTCATAATTGTTTATCAATTAACACAAACTTTTCCCTCTTTCTTTTTCATTTCTGTTTCGAATGCGCGCCACGAACACAAACACAACGAAAGGCAATACACGAATCAGCGGGGCAAACGTATATAAAAACGGCTGTGTTGCATTTTTCGTCGTCGACGTCGTAATAAGAAATTAATACATAACAAATTAGTGTAACTAACAAGCAAACTACACAAATACACTTATTTTTCACATTTTTTCTTCTGTTGTATTTCGCTTCATTCGCTTGCATTTGCAATGCACTCACTGGTTCAGTGGTGGGTATGGATGGCCAAATGGCCAAAACGAAAATGTTGAGCAGAAAAATTATTCAATAAATTTCAAATTTAATTCGCTTCGTGGCAACCGACGACGACGGAGTGCATTTCGGTTTGACTGTTTCAAATATTTTATTTATTTTCTCCGCACGCGTTTTTTTTACTCTCTTCGGTTTTTGCGCTGCAGCGTTGAGTGCAGACGAGAGCCATTTTCAGCTGGTTTTTATTGTGCGTTTTGGTTTTTCTCTCTCGTTCAACCGCAATTCCAGTGAGAGCATTTGGACGCGATTTAAGCATCAACGTTAACAGGCAGATGGATATATAACGCCAACGTATTGAAAGCAGTGACAACCAAACAAACACAAAAAAGATTTTTTTTTTCGAAAAAAAAAGAAGAAAATTACAAAACAAGTTGCGGAAATATTGTGCCAAATGTAAAATAAAAAGTACACAGCAAAATATATAAAAACTTTAGAGTCGAATGTTTCGTGTGTACGAGTATGTTGCTTTCGAGTGTGCTGTTACTTCCGACGAAAAACTTTTCCATCATTTGAATAGTTTTCGTGCGAGTGGTTTTTTGGTTTATTTTCATATGGTGAATCTTTTGAATAAGTTTTCGGATGGACAATTATCTTAATTCGAGCGCTGTATTTCAAGTGTAATTTAAAGAAGTGCAGCGAAAGTTTTTCTATTCTCTTGTTGTGATAGAGCGAACAGATTTTGTGTGTCAAGGAGATAGTGTTTGAAATATTGGATTGTGTTTTTATTGTTCTTTTGTTGTACACTTTCTAAGTGGATATCATTTGCACGCTGCGTATTCATTTGGATTACATTTTTCTCCATAGCTGGTGAGATAGTGATTTTTTCAAATAAACTTGAACTTTTGATGCTGTTGGCGTTGCTCGATGTTTTCAAGGGTGCATTAGAGACGACACACAGACCCATTACCTTCACACTAAAAATAGTTGTTTGAAAACTGCCCTTAAGTGAAGCCATACCAAAACTGAAGGAATGCCATTATCTTCTGTCCAAACGAAAGAAACGAAATGAAACCCGCACAAGCAAAAAATCGATATGCACATTTGAATGCGTGAATGTTGAGCACATTTCACACCTAAAAACTCATTTCTACGGTTTATGAGCCATCTCAGAATAGCATTTTGTTTGGCAATTAAATGTTTAATGGTGATCCACGTGGAATGAAGAAATTCGCTGATGTGACTATGTACTTTGGAGCCGAAAATGAATCAAATTTACAAGTGACTTTTACGAGTTTTTGGAAAATTGGAAATTTAATTGATTTTTACTCTTGCAAAACATGCAATGAACAGCCAATAAAATGTGTCGCACACAGATTTGCTTTTTAATGGAACTTTTTTTGTCATTCGCTTCTCAAATTTTTGCGCGATGTTCTTTGTAATTACGTTCCATATGCAGTGCGATACTCAACTCTTTATTGAGTAATAAATCAAGGGAAATTTCATTGCCTATACCTTTGGGCCTTTGACTGCAATGGCATTTCGGGTTTCACGTCATTTAATACTTGTTCAAAGCAAAAGCGCGGAAAAAAAACAAACGCGACTGTTAATGTCTACTAATATAGACTTTGAACATGAAATATGAAATTGAGATGACTGAAAAATATGCACATTCTCTGTCTTTTTCGGCTCTTTGTAATTAATAGTTTATTAACACCCATTTCAAATCCCATTGATGACTAGACGACAGATAAAACATCAAAAACCAAATTCATTTCGCTTTTGCTGCGGTTTTTCCATCTGTCGCCGTTCATTCCATGCGATAATAATTTATCGGCTAGATTTTTTTCATTTATTTTGCAATTACGGCACAACATTTGCATTGGCTTGATGAGCGTCGACGCGTGTGTATAATCAACACCACGGTGATTTATACTCAATTTGGGTTATTTTTGTTTTGAAAACCTTCTCAGCGGCTGTTGACGCTTCAAGCCAAAATAATTGATTTGTTTGGTCGTTGAGATATTTCGCATTCGTCATTTATTGGCAAAGTGTCCCTTGTTGATGTTGCGCGGCTGTCAGTGGGATAAAAGCACCACATAATAATTAATCCAAAAATTATTGACCACAAATTACACAGTCTATTGCCCGTTCACTCTAATTTCGTTCACCGCGATTTTAGCAGCAGCAGCATTTTCAATTAGCTGGAATGTCAATCTTGTTTCGATGGTGTAGTGCGCAATATTTGATATTTTTAGCGATGTTGAGATTAAGAACGTCGATCGATGAAATGAACACTTATTATCGTTTCCTTCATTTTCCACCGAATCTATGTGCACTGGGCCTAAAAATAGAGTGGTAAAAGAATTTTACAAAATGTGAACATTGCGCCATAGCATATTATGATGATTCATGACTTGTTTGTATCGAATTTCTGAAATATAAAACCCAATGATGTAGTAGCTCTCTATCAGCCAATTATTATTGCACCAACTACAAATTCAGTATGTGGTATTTTTCTCTCTCTTTAATTTCATAAATAACTTATTTTTCGTCTGGTGTGCGCCATAATAAATAAATTAACAACTGAAACCATAAAATCATTAAGAGGCGAACAGTGACGAAAAAACGAATGGCATGGAAAAGCAGCGCCACAAGTTCACACGTTTAAAAAGAGCCACAATTTATAAATTCCGAATTGAGTGTTGTTTGTGGTTTTCCGGACGAAGCACGAACAATTTGTAACAGAATCCAATTTCGTTGTATCAAAACGAAACGAACAAATTCATTTTGGAACGAACCAACGCAAAAGCTTCAAACAGTTTCTGTCGAGTGCAGCTCTTGTTGAATTTAATGCAATAGCGATAACTAGTCAAACAAAATTCTCACCCAATTAAAGCGCATTCGATGTATGTGTGTGTGTGTGTCGTTTTCAATTCCGACCAAGCAGCGGCTGTGAGCCATAAATTATTCCGTTCAAAATAATTGAGAAAAAAAAAACAAATATTAATTCACTTTTGGTGTTCAATTTTTGAACAATGAAACTAATAGTAATAAATTCACAAAACCTGGTTGTCCCAGCATAAAAACGGCAAAGATCTAAGAATGTCATAGTCAAAATAAAGTGTTTGCATAAAACGAAGTGACTTTCTTCTGCTAATGGACTGAACAAAAGTCGAAATCATACTTAGCAACAGCCAAAATTAAGAAAAAGAAGCGAAAAACAGCAGCAAAACCAACCGCAACTCAGATCGAACAATTTTTTTTTTAATGTGTGTGCACGACGAAAACAAACGAAACGCAAAATTCAACACGGCTACATGATGGCAAAGCAAATATATATCCTCGGCTATGTAATCGCAATTATATTAATACTTTCTAATGTTAAAATTGTTTATTCAAACAAGAATAACCAGTATGCGACAACAACGACTACGACGGCGATACTAGCCACGGCACTGGAAGATACTGACGATCCAGTGGCGGTTTCTTCTACACAACAATTTCACACGAGTACGCTGGCCAATACATATCCAATGTCCAAGATGGTAACGGTGCAAAGCGTTGTTGAAACAAAATCAATAAGTGCATTGCATGATGGAGCTGAATTTATGCAACACACATTGCACAACACAAGTTCGACGATAGACGAAGAATCGACGAGCAAACCAAACGACCAGAAAGAAGTGCAAAAACAAGTGGAGGAGCGACCGCAGAGCCAAAGCAGTAGCGTGCAACAAAGACAGAGCGAATATCTGGTGCAACAAAATGCCGAGAATCCAAAGCAGCTGTTATCAACGATGCACTCAATGTTGTCAATGCACGACCTGCAACCAAATCCAAACGAGAAAAGACATAATCATGCACAAGTTATTCAACAGCATAACGATGTGCACTCAACAACACCACTTACTTACCATGATAAATTTATGAATGAAAATAAAAAGACATGGAATGCGATCGAAAGTAATGCTGGTGCGACGACGACGGTATTATCGCCGGCAACGGTAACTGCAGCAACGATAACCAGCGATGAAATGAGAAATGCTCAGTCGAATAAACACAATCAACCAGTGGAGCGGATCAGCGGCGGGGAAACCACGACGGTGGCTGCTACGGCCGCTGTTACCACTGCTATTTATACTGATAATAATGATGATTCACGCAAAAGTGATGAAATTACTTCTGTGCCCATGAAAATTGTACGTGCTAATGTCAATGCTACATCCGATGCTGTTTTCCGTGTCAAAGACGAAAGTGATGGTGTAACAGAAGTGAATAAAACATTAGCCTCTGATTACGCGGGCAAATTGACGACGGATGATATTAAGAATCGAAGCGATGATGATGCCGACAATGTTGATTCATTCTCGCTCGAGGATTCGCATCACTTGAAATTCAATGAACGAAGCCGATATTTGGAAACTGATTTGGATGACTTCAATTTAGATGAACCGGGCTTCGAGCAAATCGATGTGAATGTCAATGATCAACTGGAATGGCCAAGTGATGCGAACAAATTCGAAGAGCTAACGCTCGACGATGAGGACGACGACGACGACGATGACTTCGATGGCAATAATAACCACAAATCACCGACGAAAATACAGTCTCGTAGTTGGACAAAAGAATCACCGGCCATCGAATCAATCACCTCGTCTCCCGTTGCCACACATAATATTTTGAAAATTTCCAAATCAAATAAATCAAAGTCAATGAAGCGTCTAGTCGCCACCGCCACCGCACCACCACCACTACAACCGCAACCATTGCTGGAAATTCGATTGAATAAATCGCCATCGGTGTCACCCAGAAACGAAAAGCAATTTATCAATTCGAAAAGTTTCCGTTATATTAGCAATTTATACGATCAGTACGAATGGGATGCGGACGAATTGCGAAAGGTGTTGAGCCCAAGGTGCAGCAGCGATATGTATGTGTATTTGGATGCGTTGGCTAAGGGCAAAATATGGGCGACAAGAGGTAAAAATCCATTGATTTCATTCATTTTCTTCATTTTTTTTTGCGCCAATAAATGAGTTCGTGTTCGACGTTCAAACGTTACTATGAATCTATGGATTGGGATTGGAATTCGGAATTAATGTTGCTGCAATTATTCATTGTTCTTTGGCTTTCCCCAATTTTTCCGAATCCGTTTTGTTTTTTCCGCTTTGAATGATGAATCACGAGGAAGTAATATCATCCGAAATGTTTTTAATACAATTCAGCTGATCTATTTAATTTGCAAGTAGCTCGAATTAAAGAGATAAAACGCATTATTCGTATACTAATGACTACAGTCGTTAATCAAAATAAAAAAAACTCTCTTTTTCCCCATATCTCTCTCTCTCTCTCTCTCTCTCTCTCTCTCTCTCTCTCTCTATCTCTCTCTCTCTCTTCTTTCATCTGGATGATGTAGCAAGTGATGCGTCTGGTCGGTATCGTGGTCAATTTCTGTTCGACAATAATCATTGGCTGGGCTCGATACTGGAATGTGAATTCGAACAAATTGACGAAATGGAATTGAGCTTCTTCGTTGTAACAACGCTAATTCATAGCCCTGAACCAATGATTGAGGTATGTATACATGTGCGGCCGTTTAATTTGATCCAGTTCATGTTCGAATGCAGTGCGAAAAACCATGAAATACCATACATTTAATCAACATAATGAATGGCAAAACGTTGACACCGGCAACCGGTTTTCTATTAATGTACCGTTGACATAGAACTACCATCGAAATATTTGCGTGTTTTTTGGCGATCACAACATGTCCGATTCGCTTAATGACATAGTTGTTGAACGGAAAAAAGACTTGCACAAATCTGTTTCCTCTAGTTTACAAAATCAATTTTATTCTATACAGTGCGGTTGCAATTGGTAAACACGGTTCCAAAATAACACAATGCAAATTGTCGGTCGGCCGGCCGATTGACCGAGCGACTGAGTGCACTTATGCGCAATCATTTTAATAAGCAAATATTTTCTGCATCGTCGAGCGTTGATCGTGTGCAAATTTCGATTTTTGCCAACGAATGAAGTAATAACGAATGCGTGGATGGAGTGCGTGAAATACACACACCGTGCACAACAGATTCAATGCTTGAGCCGCGAACAAGTGATGTTTTTTTATTTTTCTATTCACTCTTTACAACGTAATCATAGCGCAATTCGCATCAACTTACCCGTGTGAAAAATTTGTGACTGACTAGCCAGCCGCCTAATTTCGGACTTTTTGGCTGACTATTACTGACTAAAAGTGATTATCTCGAACAAAATATTCGACTGTAGTCAACTTCAGTTATAGTCATCTAGTAGCCAAAAAGTCCGAAATTAGACGACTGGCTGAAAGAATAACTAAAAGTGATTGTTTCTATTCAACATTTTTGAATTCAATCAACTTAGCCAGTTTTATTTATTTGCAGCTATATACAACTGAGTGACTGTCAATCACTTCATTTGCACACGGGTAGTTTTACCACTTAATTTTACCATATGCTGTCACAATTAGCTCTGAGTATCGGTTGTTCTAGTGCAAGTTATACGTAATATCTATACTTTTTTGGCCCTACATTAAATTCGTTTTAATGGTAATTTGTTTTCGATATCGAGTCAATATCGTTGAGCAACATAACAATGCATGGATGTTTTTCACTTTATTTCACTCGGTGCAATGTGAAAATTGAGCATTTTGGAAACGCTTACAAATATACAATGGCTACCTGAATGAGTTAAACCTTGCAACATTGATGCACATAAATTTGGCGAAAAGCCAGGCCTGGAAAAACACCTGTAAAATGTGAAGCATGTGAAATTATAATTGATGGGAATTAAATGTTGACCTGCGCACCGAATTTGCATCCCATTGTGAACAACTATGTATATATGGTTTCGAAATTCATTGGCAATTTGTGGAATTTCAAATGATTTTCTAATTTACAGAAGCATATTTTGCGGGTGGGTCAATGTTTACCACGGATTTGTACGAACGACGATGTTAAACTGATTCTCGATATGGATACATCGGCACGGAAATTCACTGAAAATTCCATGAACGCAACGAACAAACGGGATTGGGCCGAAGTCAATGTGGTGTCCGTGCGACGTGTACCCGGCGATTACAACACATGGCAGGATCGACAATTCTATTTGGTGGCGTAAGTTGATTTTTGAACACTGTTCGAAATGGGAACACACACAGTATGGGGTGATTGTGAATTTATGCTATGAATTTTGTATTGGTTCTTCATTTTAGTGGAATTTGCATAATATTCGTCGGGCTAACGATTTGGGCAACAATTTACGAAAATTCATTGGCAAAGACACACGAAATAAACGACGAAAATGTTTCACCATCACGACAAGCCATTCATCCAATTCACAAAACGGCAATGACGACGACCAACACAACGGCAACAACAAAACCACCAAAATCGAATGGTCAACGCATTTATTCATACGAAAATGCGACGATCGACTTGGAAAGCACCAAACCAGCATTAAAAATGGACAAAATTCACGCAAAAAACATTATGAATGGATGCACATTTGAATTGCATCCCATTTCGATTGAACATAACAATGGAAACCATCTGGCAAACAATAATCGGGCGGCCTTCTATCGATTGAACAATAACAATGCCAATAACATCAACAATAACCATCATGCTGGTAATAACGATGATGCGAACGATAACAACCATTTGAAGCGAGTACAGCACAGCCGAAATGGATCATCGACATATGCTACAAAAGCGATGGCTACAAACGAATCCAACCATTTGAGTAAGCGAATTCTATGGGAATAATAGGTCCAATAATAATGAAAAAATAAAATGAAATAAAATTAGACAAAGCACATACACGTACATACACATGTTCCATTTATCTGGCATACGATTCGGCCGAACTGAAAAACTTTACGAAACTAGCTCGAAAATGAATTTTCAAACCAATTTCATTTTTGGCTCGCATACACTCGAGTGGTAATTTGATGAAGTTTGCAATAGTTTTGAACGGAATGTTTTAAACTTTGGTCTTTCAAGCATTCACAAATATGAACCGATCCACCAACCAACCAACCAACCGATATGAACTGTCTTTGTCAACACAGATAATAGAAGGTATAGGACTATAGGTCATATGTTGGAATCTACATAACAATTCAATTTTATTTGAAGCGCCACGTTTTATTAATTGTGTCAGTAGTGGCATATCCCTTTTTACTCTCTCACTCTCCCTCACTCACCCTCACTCACCCTCTCTCGATTCGATAAAATTTATTCCCTTTTTATCCTTGTTCCTCTTCCTATTGGCAACCTTTCGCCTTTTGATTACAGCAATGCAATAAAATTTTGTTATTCAAATTATGCGTGCGGCGGCTGTTGAACGTCAAAGTCATTTAAGGCGATGCGAGCGCCTCCAATTTCGAAGGGCACATCAATGTAATTTAACATTTCAAATCGGAACTACACAGCGCGCCAATTCGAAATATAGGAAAATATAGTGTCAACAGCCGCACCATGAAATTATGATTATTTTTGTGAAAAGACCCAGAACTAAAGTGGCTGGAATTATCCGCTAGCAAGAGCGTACGGAAGAGAAAGAGAGAGCAATTTTTAGATGAAAATAACAACAGAAAAAAGCGGCACATGAGAATTGAATCGTTGGGATTGGATATGAACCAAACCTCGGGAGCAAAAGATAAAAATGCCATAAAAGTGTTCACGCGCAAAATAAATTGCTGTTTTATACAGTCACTTCTAAATTGAGCTGCTACGAATATTCGTATGTGTACTATTTTGTGTGTGCATGTGTTCGTTTCGTCTTTTTTCTAATCCGATGACGTATATAAGCGCAATACGAGAAGTGCTATCGCCATCGATGCATGCAAAAGCATTCATGAGAACGATTACTGAATGCGAATGGCAAAAATGCCGAAGCATTGATTCGTTGTCGTAGCCATGCGATAAAGTGCCACACGAGTATCCACTTCATCGAAAATGCATGGAGAGCAATAGGCGAATAAATGTTTGAACGTAGACAATGGCACACACACACACACACACACATACATAATATTAGTCTCCAGTGTACGTAAAACCAATTTGGATCGATTCATTCCAGTCGCAATGGATATTTAATGGGTTTGTTGGAAGCGATTTGAAAAATTACCACATTCCGTGCCATAAGAGAATCATATCCCCCAACCATTCTTCTTGTTGAAATCAAACCCGTTGTCTATTACTTTCCATACACATTCGCCATTTTCCCATGGCGCACAATGACCCACCCATCCAACACAAAAGCTCATTTTCAATTTAATTCACAAAATATTTGTCGGCAATTTATCCACACTAATTTTGAATAAGTTTTAATCCAATTTAACTATTAATCGTGCCGACCATTAGAGCCGGTGTACCACCTGATCCAACAAACCAAAGCACACAATCTTCATCGAAGTTTAAACAATTACATACATGCAAGCGAGGGCTTATCACGGTTTACCAGATGCTTTACTTTATTAAAGGGTTAATGAAAGATTCTGAGATTTTAGCACTCTCTCTAATAGCGCCGAACAACGTTCCAGCATGCGAATTGATTCAAGGTTCTTGTTTTAATGAGAAAACCGATTTTCAAATACAATGAAAAATTTGATTTAATTGATTTCAATACAACCAAAGACAATTTAAAAAAAAAATCTCAGAGAACTTTTTAAAATCCAAACCGATTAAAACTTGTAATCATATATTTCTATGGGTGAGATTGAGAGTAGTGTATGTTTGATTGACTTTGTTACGAAAGAGAAGAGCAAGTTTCTGTCGACTTAAAAATGGTTAAAAGCGAGTATGTTCGTTTTTAGCGGGTCCTCGCGGTTTTTCACGGTTTCCGTGGAACTGATAAGAGATAACAACTTGGTGTCTTCGGCAAAATTGTAGCACTCGAGGTCTTCTATAACATCGCTGAAGACAGTTATCTCTTATCTCTTATCAGTTCCGCGAAAAGCGCGAAAAATGATAAGAAAAAAAAAGTTCTATATAAAATTTGCTTTTTTATGTGCGCGATTTGCGCGCAACTGATAAGAGATAAGAGATAACTGTCTTCAGCTTAGTTATAGAAGACCTCAAGTACTACAACTTTGCTGAAGACACCATGTTGTTATCTTTTATCAGTTGCGTGAAAACCATGAAGACCGCGGAGGCTAGAGGGTACTACAACATACTCTACTTTAACGCCAACAGAATCATCAGAAAACATACTCGCCTTTTCAAAAATATAAATCGAAGAAAAAACATACTCCACTCTCAATCTCACCCATAGATTTATTTATTTGTTTTTAATTTTTTTTCATTCGAATAAACCACCTTGGGCAAAGAAATGCTATTGGTGCAGAAAACAACAACAACAACAAGAACAACAACATTTTTCAGTGACATTTTGACCGTTGAACATCAACTTTTCTCTTCTTTCGACAACAACTTCTTTCTTATTATTCTCTTCGTTAAACCCATTTAATGTGTCTTTAGAACAAGAGCTGTTAGCCGCCGAAGGAGAATTACTCATAAAATTCTGCTTCCATGATGCTTTCAAAATTCATAACTATTAAAATCGTTGAAAAGCATTCAATCAAGCTCAAAAATATGCGCAAATCTGAAGCTAAGGATATTGAATATTCCACTTCAACGCTTACGGCAATTTCGAAATACGAAAATCCAATGTTTTACATGCAAAATGAAACGTTTAACTATTTTATTTAACGCTTTTGCTAATAGAGCCCGAAATTTTTGAAATATTTCACGTCGAAACTTTAATTCCTTGTACTTTCCCATGCTAAACTTTAGCAAACATTATATTTTCATGCGTTGACTTCAACGATGATGAGATTTCGGGTAGAAAGAAGGAGAAAAAATTTCCACATTGTTCATGGCATTCAATAGCATTAGCATGATGGAAATATGGGACGAAATGCAATTTAACAGTGGGTTAATATGATATAGAAAATTGGTGTTGTTATTCAATTGTGTCTGTTGCCAGCAACTCGCGTATACACATAAATGTGTGCTACGCATAAAATAACTGGTGGAGAGGGTGGGAAAAAACAAAGAGCGAGAGAAAATGTAGTATGCCAATGGCAACTACCAAAATGTGTTGAGTTCCGATGAGATGCTCCAAATCGATGTCAATGCGAACAACATCAATGAAGATAAAAATCGATATTTTCCATCACGTAAAAGTGATGACATGAAACACTCCCCGGCGAAATGCGAACGAAAAAAAAGATACACATCAAAATTTTGTAAACGATTACAGTACGGTGGGCAACAATTCCAAAGTTGGTATTTTCGAAAGAGACGTTGCTCATAATAATCGAGCCACAAATACGACAAACTATTGATTCAGACTTGGATGTATAAGATTTTGATGTTTCCCGATTGCTCTTTTCGTCGAATGGGATTAACAGTTTACTTTCGCAAAAGTACTCACTTTTCTATTATGCACGAAGCGTGCGAAAACAAATACTCAAACATTTGTGTGTGTGCTTTTTTTTCGTTTGTGTGAAAAACAGAAATTGTGCGACGAGTTCAAACGTGCAAACAAAGTTTTCAAATCCATTGGAGACATTGTATCATCAAGTTTATTCAGTTCGGCTGTTGTTTGGTTATTGAAAATTTCGAATTTTCATCCGAAGTCGCGCGCATTCTATATTTCGGCAAAAATCATGCTTTTGGCTTTGTCAACCGATTTTCTGCGTTGTAAAGACCATTTCGGCAGAAACGAAAAAAGTTGAATATTTTATTGAGTGTCGTCTTGCATATTTTCATTTTCGTCGTCGGCACCGTACGAATTTGTCCTCTTAAACAATGAAATGTAAACGAAAACGAGAGAGAATTTCGGGCGACGTTAAATAAAAATCACAATACGAAACAGAAGAAGTGTGTATATGTACGATATTCAGTTGCTATGTCATACGCACAATTTTTTTTAATACTCATTTATATGCATGTTATGTTTAAATTTGGTCTTTTCTTCTCTGTTTACTCAATATGAAGGTATACCACAACGATTGCTGTTGAGCTTCGGATTGTCAACAAATGCGAAGACAATTCTGTCAACGAAAGAGCTCCCGCAGGTAATTTTAAACTACCAATTATTTGAAGATGGAAGAAAGAGGGCGGAAATTTACTACACAGTAAACAAAAGCAGGCACTTGCTCGTACGAGATTGGAATAAAATGAAAACAATTGGAATGCAAACACATGTGTGTTTACACATAGCATGCAAATCGAATATTTAAAATGGAGATATTTCTATTGGATGTGGTTTCTTTTTTCCCTTGTTCGCATCCATTGTGCACGACGCGATATCAATATCATGTTCAGATATTACAATTTCCAAATACACATAGATCACATTTCATGAGACCATTGATTTCCTCTTCGATGACTATTGAATGTAGAACAACTTATCCAGTTCGGATTCTTGCAGAACAATTCGATTTTGAGCCTTGTTCGTTCATATTTGGAAAGAGAGTGGGTGAGCGTCAGCAATTGTGCGAATATAACAATACACAGTTGGAATTTTTTTTGTGCCTAGCACAAATATTATGATGACGTCATAAAAAAAGTGAAAATCCTTCGGATTCCCGATTACTACGGCGTATTTGGCCCAAAGCAATTTTTATTGAAATCCATCGATTTTTATCGAACCGTTTTATTTTTATTGGTCTTTCACCACATTATAGGAGTCGATCGGTTGTGTCCATGGATTGCGGGTATTTTCGATGATGTGGACCATATTGGTGCACACTTATTTGCAGCTTTTCGCTGTTACAGAAAATCGGGTGAGCACAGAAAAAATTACAATACACACAAATGCGCTGCAACAACAGCAAAATATTTATCCGCATGAATATCTCGCGAAAATAGTATGTCACTCGCGTATAAAATGTAGGACATTTGACGGATGCCATCCATATGCATTGTATTCGAATTGAAATTTTGTAATACTACTCGCAGGAAATGGCAGCTGTCAAATGACATATATTTTTGTGTGTGGGAAACGTTTTTGGCGGTTGACGATTTTTCTCTATCATTTTAATGTCATTGTCAATGTATTTCCTTCCTTATTATTTTGTTGACGGTGACCACATCGATCGGAATTCCCCCATGCATAAATGATTTGTGACTAAAGTATAGCAAACAGTTGTCCGAGAAAACGTTTTGGTACCAGATTTTAGGGAATGCATCATACACCGTTGATACGTTCTTCTTCATCAGGCAAGTTGTCTTTGCCATATGGCAAAAACTTTTCATCACACTCACACTTTGTTTTTTACTTTGCACACATACACACATTGTCATCTTGGTTACTGTGTTTATTTACTTTGACAGTGGTTTTCTGGTGACACTCCTGTTCTTGCGTACCAAAAGCTCAACGAAAAGTTCGAATGCGGGCGGCTTCATTTCGGGAACGAAGCAAAGTTTTTTGTTAGTCATTTATCGATATATTCGGTTAACGCCGGTTTATTTTATGGTGATTATCATCAATGCGGTTACACTAAAGTAAGTTTTATGTATTTTGGTTTTTGGGCAGCATGTGCCAAACGTAATCAATATATCACACATTGGATGTGAGGGCCGGTGCCAAAAGTGTTTGTATCTAATTTTTGTGTGAATCATTGATGATGTTTTCGACAGGTATGTGTATAATAAATCAGTGTTCACACCCGGATTGCCCGATCATATCACGTGTCCGAATTATTGGTGGCGAAACATTTTGTACATTCAAATCTGGTTCCCGTTCTCGCAACTGTGCATGCTATGGTCATGGTATTTAGCCGATGATATGCAATTCTACATTTGGGCCATCATCATACTCATTCTATCGAAGCGGTGAGAGACACTTTGAATACCCTCAATAATTAATTCATTTGTTTACATGCCCGCCTCATGAAGATGCGCAAGGCCATACATCTTATATTTTTATTTTAGTACATGCATATACAAAATTAATACCAAATGCTTTAACAAAATGTTTAATTTACATACAAATGCTTCAAATACGTATGTGTACTCTTTCTGCGTCATTCCACATTGACAAATATGCAGCCATGGACGAACAGCTGTTGCCATAATCGTAACATTTCTGCTCACCTCATGGGTTGTGTCGGCGCTGGTCTCATTAAATTTCAATTACGAGCATAGAACGTCGGAACCTTTGGAAAGCTTTGGGTACTTGTACGAGAAGCCATGGACGCGATTGGGACCATATGTGATGGGTTAGTTTGATTTCTCAAATTGTTCTTTTATTACCTCTCTCAATTCCTACTCCCTTTCTCATCCTTTCTCTCCCATTTTCCGTTCACACCGTTTTGTTTGCTATGCAAACACAGTGAAAAACCTTGTCAACTATCAATGCTTGATCGCATGGTTTGTGTGTGTGTGTGGGTTGCTTGATGATAAAGTGACTTTTCTTCGTATGAAATGCGTTCACATTTTATTAATGATACACCCGGAGAAACACAGATACATCACCACTGCATGCGTGCGCTTGCTCGCTCGCACACACACATTAAACTGATTTTAAACGTGCGAGATGCTGCATGAAAATTAATGTGTGTCCTCATGTGCATCGTCATGGAATTGCTTTAGTGTTTTGTTTGTTTAATTTTGCCGATGAATCGACTCAATCTGGCTCTCTTTCTATCTCATGCTCACCCGTTTGACACAGGTATGATGGCTGGATATGTACTTAATCGCTACAAATCTGCACCGCCGGCCATAACTCCATTCATCAATGTTGTGCTGTGGATGATGTCATTGGGCGTGATGTTATTGCTTGTGTTTGGCGTTTGGAACGGTACACTAAATCTTCTATGGACCGCTCTTTATGTTAGCTTAGGCCATTCAGGTGAGATAGACCGAACATTATTTTTTCAAACCGCAAAAACAAGTTGATTTATTCGGGCGAACAGGAGAAAAAAAATGATACAGCTGTATGTTCACTCGGATTTGAAGGAGTTTAATTTGATTTCCATAACAGATTATATGAATAAATTCAAGCATTAATTCAAATAGAACATATTTTCCGTTCATATTTTGCGTCATCAGAATTGCTAATTCAGGGGAAATTTAAAATTTAATTTGTTTTGTTTTGTTTTGTTTGAATTTCAATTTCCTTTTCGTACACCATTCGAAATATATAATCCGATTTAATTAATCCGATTTTTCAATATTCTCTTTTTCTGCATTCGATTGATCCATATTCAAAACCGGAATGAAAAATGTGTGTTGCAACTGTGTCAGCTTGGGGATTAGCGCTTGTTTGGATCGTATTATCGTGTAAATGGGGACTAGCCAAGCCAATTGATAGATTATTATCATTTCGAGGAATGTTGCCATTAAGTCGGCTCACCTATTGTGCTTACCTGATTCATCCGATCACTCAAATTGTGATGTCATTAGACCTGAAAGGAACAATTCATATCCAGCACAGTCTTGTGTTCACCGTATTCCTGGGCAACGTGGTCATGGCTTATACCGTCGCATTAATCTTGTCATTAGTGTTTGAAGCGCCAATCGTACGGCTTCTGAAAATACTCTTCTCGAAGTGAACCGTTTTAGCTCTACTCTATATAATAGATTTTGTAGTTTATAATTTTTAAGTTCAATCACATTTTGTTTTTGTTCGACTAGAAATTGCAAATCCGTGTCATAGTTATTAAGGAGAAAAGAAGAAGGAAGAATGCGTCTATAAAAGAAAGACAAAAAAAATGACATCTGTATAGGTTTTAATGGCATTTCATTTTGTAATATGACGCAAATGTACATAAGTCACCCGGCAACATTGTTGTTTGATGAAGAAATAAAAAAAGGTCCTTTTCTGATTAAAATCATAATTATAAGAGCTGGTTTTCTCTCTATGTGAGTGTGTGTTTGTTATCGAATGTGTGAGAGCAAGCATCTGTTCACAGCAACTTACTCAATTAAATCCAAATTCAACCCAGTTAACGCATGACAACCATGATCATCATTTTCTGCTTTTCATCCACAAAATACCGATTGCGTGCATGAGAGTACGTACATTTGAAGGTTGCTAACATGTCAAATAAATGTACAACCATCAAGGCAGCGGATTACAGCACATTTTCCAGATTGGTTTTATTGAATTGCTTGGTTCCTCTATCACTTGATCGCTGATTATTGCAGCATAAAAAGCTCATCGCGTAAAAGCAGCCAACGTTTTATGTGTGGGTATACGATTAATTATGAGCGCTTTGGTGCAGCACCATTTTCAACCAAAGAGTCTATTTCACGCAGTTCCTCTACTTGAATGCTTCTCCAACTACTATCGCGTAGTGTGAAGCAAGGAAATACGCGGCAGACACACCATGAAACACATCTGCGTTTCCCAAAATTCGAATCGGGACAAAGTATTTTTTTCTCTGTGTCAAAATGTTCACTCATGTTTGCAAAACTTACTGAAACTCTGAGTTTTGCGCTTATTACCAGAAAAACGAGTACCGCTTAACTCATTGCCAGCAATGCCAAAGACAAATAGCGTATCTACAGAGAAGCCTGAGCTTTAATACCAAAGTTGGCTTCAACAAGCAACAAACTCAACAAGCTTGGATGTTTCGACCCAACGTGTGATAAATGTTTTCCATTTTCGACGTTAATCTTTGTTCGAGCTAACGGGGGGAGTGTTACGCGGTTTCGCATCACATCGCATCGACGACGTCATTGCTGTTAGCCCTGGATATTTTGTGTGTGTGTGTGTGTGCACTGCAAATGGGAACGAGAGCGCACGTTTTCCATTTGAATGCTGACGCTTTTCCTACGGGATTCAGATGTTGCTTGAGAAAAATCCTAATTCTCTTCTTAATTTCAGACGTTACCAAAACCATTCAATCGAAAACAAATGAACCGGATAAGAGTAAGTTAACATCAACTGCTGCTTTATATTTAGTACATGATAATTTCTTCCGCGCAATTTTCATCGTCGCAACCATTCCTTGGGTGGCTGATTTTTACTTGCTCCAATTTCTCTATTAAGAAAGAATTATTTGCTAATCGGTTTTGTTTTCTAAAGCAAAATGTATCATGAAATTCCTCCAGAAACGGTGTAATTGTTGGTTTGCATTACGTTCGAATTGAGAGAACAGATCGAGAGTTAAATATGCGTATAAATACTGTGGTAACAAATTTTAATGTAGACCCATTTACAAAGCGATGGCTACAAGCGAACATAGCGTTTTTATATCGTTGTTGCTGGTCGGGAAACGGAGACGATAAAATTAATTGGTGACATTTTCGATGGTCATCGAATACGAGTCTTCTTCATGCGATTTTCTCATGTTTTCGATTATCGATGCATCAATACATGTTGCCATTGTGGATAGCTTGATGTAATTTATTTGTGGGAGATCAATCAAAGGCAAGTAAATAGCAATAAAGCTCTAACACAATGGTATGTGGCCAGCAACAACAAAAACTCAGGCACGCATGAAAAAAAAACCGGTTGTTCCAGGAAGGTTAACGAAAATAATTTGTGCTCTCATCCGTGTAAGTGCATGATTAATACGTGTTCGGTATGGTACTAATTGAAACACTCCGAAGGATTGGAAATTTACATACGTTCAAACGTTCTGAATGAATGATTGCGTTTTTGGTGGTCTCAGCTCACTGCCGCCGTCATCACAATTGCCGAATCAACAAAAACCCAAATTCGAAGGCACATCCAAGCGAAACTTTCATTATAATCGTATTCGCTCGAGTGCATTTTCTGAACCTCTGCCAAGTTCTGTGTGCGTGTGCCGGTACGCTGTTTGTCGAAAAGGCTTCACAATGGCGCACAAAGGAATTATGACGCATATGAACAATGTTAATGAAATATATTTGCACATTTTTCTTTTTATCGCATGAAACATAATGTTTACAACGTTGAATGAAGTACACTTTACAGTTGCACGTGCGGGATTTCAACACCCCAGTGCACAGGCAGAGAGAGAGAGAAAGAGAGTGAAAAAATAGCACGGTGGCTGTAGTATTCAAGGTTTTATATTGAATTTTTCGAAGCATGAATAACGTATCAAAGATTCAGTTGAAATTTACAAAAATGTGATGTTGAGTGCCAGAGAAATAAAAAGAGTGAGAAATAGAGAGAGAGAGAGAGAGTGTCATCCTCTTGACATTGAATTAATATCAAATCTGACGTTTGAAAGTTCCTTTTACTTCACATACACTCGTGATTTGTTGACACAACAAGCAAGGCTCACACGTTTTTTTCCCTTCACTTTTTTGGCTGTCGAAATGATTTAGTGCTAGACTTTATGCTGCTGCAAAGCGAAGATAACAAAGCACATTCTCATCGCACGAAACGACAGTATACATGGGCAATAGGCACTTTTAACTTTTTGATCCAAATTCATGTTTTCAATTCGCTCGATAGAATCTCTCGACGAAGACACACATGATTAATTTTCGGTGTTGTTGGTTGTTTTTTTCCAACTCCATCTGAATTTTCTTTGATGAAAATCATACTACACACAAACACAAGCAAACGCACTCTCGACTTTTTGATGGCATCTTCACGACCAGAAAATGTGAACGAAATGCATTCGAGTAAAAATTATTCGAGCTAACTTTCAAAGCCATTTATCATATACAATGGAACGAGTTATTTAGAATTTCACCCTTAACATATCATCGTCCCTAGAAAATTAAATAAGAAACTAAATACGAAACATATAAATGATATGACCCACTGAAATAATCCAAGTTTTATGTGTAATATATTTGCGTTGAAATTTAACAGTCGAGCCAGATCTGTGATTACATCTAAAAATATACTGTTTTTTTGGGTACACACAAGAGCTTCGTTTAAAGTTTATGGGTTGAATTTATTTGGCGCCATTGCAGCGCATCCATCGATGGTTCACATATGGATACACTTCGTTTGGATGATGTTCTTGCTGCCGAAAACGATGGTGTTTTGCCGATGGCAATGGCCGATTTTCGACTATTCGTAACGTGTGTACTTGGGTCATGTACTACATTTTGATTCCAAATGGAAAATGAGTTTTTGAAGTAGGATCGGAAATGGTTTTTTTTTCCATTGGTTTTGACAAATAAATTAGCAACAATTCGAATCTCGATTTTGATTACATTCAACAAAGTGGCTGTGGCTGTGGATACTTTGAAAATCAATCATCCGAAGCATTCAATTTAATTAGGTTGAAATATATGCGAATAGATACAATGTTATTAGGATATGTTGGTATTCAGGTCTTTTGAATCAAAGCAAATAGTGAACATGTTTTTCAAATTTTGTGTGGTGGCGAAGTGTTATTCGAATCAGTAGCGCCGCCTTAGTTCCATTTTATCAATCTATTTTGTATGAAATTGACAATTTTCTATTCAAACGCCTAGTGGCGCTGTTGTTGAAATACCACCTCAGCTTCTGTACGCCGGAAGTTTCTGTCTAGATACAGAAATGCGGATTTCCCATTAAAAATGCCTATTTAGACTTTGTGTTGAATGAATGCATGCGACCACGCTATCATATTTGCCCGCAGTTGTTGGAATAAAACCACAAGCTCGTTCATCTTGAATCATACGCATGAATATGAGCGATTTTCGTGTTTCACAATGTGTCTGCGTGTGTGCCCGTGTGTGTTTATCGCAATAAATTTTCATAAATTCCATGCGGTAGAGCTGCTTTTCTCCACACCATTTCATGAATCTATTTGCGATACACCGGCTGAATCCGGCCGCTTGTATCGATTTATCACTACTTTCAACGAACTCAAATTGCACGAATACATATCCTTTAATTGAGTGGACTTGATCAATAAATGGAAATCGTACCATTTTGGTCCATTTATTTGTGGCGTAAATTTTCGGAGAAAGAAAGATTAAATTGAAACCGAAATCTCATTGGGCGTATAAATAAATAGATAAAGGGTAAGTCAATTTCTGGAAAACTAACTTATATTTCTATGGGTGAGATTGAGAGTAGTGTATGTTTGATTGACTTTGTTACGGAAGAGAAGAGCAAGTTTCTGTCGACTTAAAAATGGTTAAAAGCGAGTATGTTCGTTTTTATCGGGTCCTTGCGGTTTTTCACGTTTCCGCGGAACTGATAAGAGATAACAACTTGACGTCTTCGGCAAAGTTGTAGCACTCGAGGTCTTCTATAACATCACTGAAGACAGTTATCTCTTATCTCTTATTAGTTCCGCGAAAAGCGCGAAATTGATAAGAAAAAAAAAGTTCTATATAAAATTTGCTTTTTTATGTGCGCGATTTGCGCGCAACTGATAAGAGATAAGAGATAATTGTCTTCAGCTTAGTTATAGAAGACCTCAAGTACTACAACTTTGCCGAAGACACAATGTTGTTATCTTTTATCAGTTGCGCGAAAACCATGAAGACCGCGGAGGCTAGACGGTACTACAACATACTCTACTTTAACGCCAACAGAATCATCAGAAAACATACTCGCCTTTTCAAAAATATAAATCGAAGAAAAAACATACTCCACTCTCAATCTCACTCATAGATTTAACACATTCGCCGAAAATCAATTTGAATTATGCTTCGGGTGCATTTTCTTGTAGTGACTTTAACCGAGATAAATAGAGAAATATTTCTCTGAATAACCGGAGCCAAGCATGGAATTGATGGTTAGGAAACTCTTTAGTTTCTGAAGGGAGTACGAAGTTGAATTTCTGACATCAACAACAATAATTGGACGAAATGTGCACATTTAATGTACCAAGAAAAATAAATGAACGGCAGGACAAAAGTGGGGAAACGAGTGAAAATGAGATAGAAATTAAGGTAGTGTGTAAAAAATAATGGGGAAAAATGTATGTGTCTTAATTGAAAGAATGGG